CACACCAAAAGGATACATTATTTTGAGAAATATAGTGGCGAGATGCCCAAGAATACAGCTAGGGCTGAGGATACCAAAAAAGTCAAAGAGGTAAGGTGTAGGGACGCCACCCAGTAATAAAGGACTTGCAAAGATTATTTGTAAGTCACTTTTGTAAGGTTACACATGTGATGTTCCAGTAACAAGGCTTCAAAAAAAAAAAGACTCGAATTTGGTTTTTGAAATGTTGTGCTTTGAAAATGATTACTCAAAATTCGAAAGGTGAAATAGGAGCCATCTCAGCCCAAGGAATATTCAGTTCATTGAGATTTCGATTTCACTCCCATAGTTTGTGATAGTCGATCAATCTGGTCTGTTAATAAAGAATTTATCTTGAAGTAACTTTGCGATGGCAGTTTGCCTTCCAGCCCGGTCCTTTGGCATTCACTATGAACCATACAGCACACTTGTATATCTTGAAACAAAAAAAAAAAAACTACAAAAAGTCAAAGGGAGAATTAACATGTCATCAATGTTTAGATTAGGCCAGGAACAAACCTACATGTATGAATACTATGTGACATGAGCCATGAGTCAACTTGTTCGCGACGACGAATAGACAGTTGGCTTTTAGCTATCGTGACATAAACCAGCCATCCGAAATTAGAATTTCAAGAAAATACAGCCTAGGTAAGCCAACTGTACTAAATAAGTCTTGCTCAGAAATTTTTCGTCCGAGTTGCCCAAACCAAGTATGACTATTTGTTGATTGGCTTGGACCCATTTATTAGTCTTGAACCTCCACTTAACCCCAGTCCCATTTGCAAATCGCGGGGGTACAATCAAATGAACCATAAAAATCGGCATCTGTCTTCATTTCATATAGCTCAGGCAGCTCGCCCATGACCGCTACATAAAAATCCGCCGAAGAGGAACAACCCAAAATTTAAGACGTACTTTTCCTAATTAGCCACCCCGCTACAACTCTAATCAGGCGCATACACGAGGACGCCAGCGGCACGGCCCCGCGGCGCGTATATGCAGGCTTCTCTAGACGGCGCCACGCACGGGAAAACCAGGCGGTGCGCACGTGATAGAACCGTGTCGAAGCGCCGGCAATGTCGCGGTGCCGTGGCCGGGTAACCCGCGGATAGTGGAGAGTGGACGTGCTTGTATCTGAGGCCTTCGCAAATTTCAACCAGTCCATTCTTTGGAGCCTTGGAAAGAACGTCTTTCGAACCCAAAGCTAAGTAACAAACAGACGAAATGAATCCCGCTTTCTCCAACTTAGGGCTCATGTTGATCATGATGCAGGTGTCGCGCAGGCTCGATCTCGAGGACCCCCAAATCTTGATGTATGTGAGAATCGCGTACGTGGCTTGCCAGTTGGTGGTGTTTGGCGTCTGTATGTATGTCAAGTTCCAGATCAACAGGAAAAACGACTTGACCACCATGAAGTACGTGGAGCCGGGTAACCCCATGGCCGGCCAGGAGGAGAAGGCTGTGGTCACCACTGTCAAGGAGTACGACTTGAAGCAGATCGACTCCCAGATCAAAAGCATCTTCACATCATTGGCCATGATGGGTTTCATGCACTTGTACATGAAGTACACCAACCCCTTGGTCATGCAATCCGTGTCCTCTGTGAAGTCTGCTTTGGAGACCAACATTGTCAAGATCCACTTGTGGGGCAACCCAGCCTCGGGCGATTTGAAGAGACCTTTCAAGGCTGCGCCTGGCTTGTTGCTGGCCTTCCAGGGCGCTTCTGGTGACATCAAAACCGACAAGGCTTCTGTGGAGGCTGCCGAGACTGCCGGTGCCGGTGGTATCAAGGAGGAATAGAGATTTTGGTAGCAAATAATTAGAGATCTAGGCACCGGACGGCCATGTGTTCCAGAACAAGTAGTGTGGCCACGCCGGAGTGAATGTGGTCTAAAAATTCAGTTTCGATGAGGATTAGAGGTGCCGGATGCACCAAGCAGGATCAGAAGGGCCTCGCTGCTCTAGTTAATATACATCATCTTAAACTTTCCGTAGGGCCGCGGGCCTCATCGACCTGGATGTGGTCATGTTGCTTTCTGGGGCTCCCAGCTTTTGCTGGCTGCCGCTTGCAATGGTGGATCTGAAGCTGGGGCAGTAGATGATCCTCCGAGTCCAGTGCCAGGAAGTATCTGCCACCAAGTACCTACTACAATAGATACATGGGCGTAGGGAAGGCGATGGCATGGATGTCATGGAATGGGGATCTCTATGACATGATCACAGGGAAATGTGGGGACTTATAGCAGAGGAAAGGGTTTCGAAACAGGAACCCTGTAAAACAATTCTAAAAAATGACATCTGGCAGACAGTTTGGTTTTAGTGGTAATTCTCACTTGGGGAGATAAGAATCTTGATGTGCAATCAGACAGCTCCGTATAATCTTAGCCTTGTATATGATACATGTATTATATTGTGGATGAAAATCACCCTCTCTCCGAGTGTTAATTAAGATGCTGATGACTCCAAACTTCAATTTGGTGCAACCATTCAAAAAATTAGATTACTTTTTTACATATGATACATTTAGTTGGGTCAAGACTGTTCGTCATCTATGGAAAGGGCAGTCATCTTTGCCGAAAATTGCTGATTCTAGAAATTTGAATTCACACACATTTGCTCGTTGTAATTCACTTTTCAATTCTAAGATCCTATTCAGAAAGAGAATTTGTGTCTGCCACCAGGGCAGCGATCATATAAACACTGAACTCTGTAGACAACCTCGCTTATATCTCACCACGAGATCGTATTTATAACATCACCTTTGGAATGATGGAGTGGGAACAGCTAACAGATTCAGACAGATTCGGAAAATTTGTTCAGCCCAAGTGGCTGAATAAAACAAGAGTATCAATAAAGCCCATTCGATTCGAAAATGCGAGACAGCCAGATTCTTCCTCTATGCCATATTCACAAAGAGACTAATACTTACCCTAGTCGCCTTTCTGAACACTCATGACAGCGTATGAGCCAGTGTCGCATCTGGCCCACTACAAAGAAAAATTAGAAAATGAGTTACTCCCGCCTGTCTCGATAAAGATTCTCAAACCAAATTAATCACCGCAGCACCTATATGCGTTATATTCAAGAGAACAAGCTGGTCCACGTCTCTAGAAATCATTCACCAAAAGACACTCCTGTTTTTTGCCCCTCACAAAACTGATCGTGTCTAATAGTTTAGTGCTGACAATCAACTCCCTCACAGTCCATTTTCCCTTGTTATAGATTTCCGGCACGGCCTTGTTCATGGGGAGGATGAGGTTTTCGTAGAGTCCCTGGAACTGTACCACTTCGGCAGCGACCATTTCCACCTCGGCATCCATTCTGACGAACGCATCATGTATCCATCCGGGGAGGTACTGTTCTTCCGGATCTTCATCGCTGTAGGCTTCCTTGTTAAAGCACCGGATCAAGTACAACAACCACACCTGGTCCATGAGCTCCTGGTCCACGATGTCTTCGTAGCTGGTGACGCCCATGGTGACAAGAAGCGACTGGGCAAACTTCACGTCTTTTTTGTAGATGCTCTTGAGAGTGGTCACGTTGCTTTTGTGGTCGGCCAAAAGCGCGGACTCCCGGTGCTTGATGTCAGAAACCGCGGCCTGGAGAATGGCCTTTTGTGAGCGCAAGTACGTGCGGATGGTGGTCTCGTTGTGTTGGCTTTTCACGTTATTGACATTGATGAGTGCGGCCTTTGATTCCACCGCCTGGCGCAAGTGGTTCAAGCCACTGAGCTGCATTCTCAAGGTGAGCTTGCTGCCCTCCCACGGGCCTTTGACCAACCACTGGAACACTCGCACCAAGTCCTCGGGCACCCTGTCCTTGGCGATGAAAAACAACAACCCGTCTCTGTACTGGTCATACGGGGCCGGGTCACTTTGGCTTTGGTTGCTCACAACTGAGGTGGTGTAGTCGGAGATTTGGGGAAGAGACACCCCGTGACTTTCAAGCTCCGGCAACATCTGCTCCGGGACCTTGATTTTGAGAGCCACGGTGTCAGCCGCATTGTTGTCCAAGCAGAACCCGTACGCCAAGAGAAGCTCCTCGTTGCCTTTGCGCCCGTAGTTGTTGAACAACTCCAGCCCACCATTGCGGTGGGATTGGAACTGGAAAAAGTTGCCGGAGGCCGTCCACGTGACGTCAGCCTGAGGGCTGTGGTTGAGCAAGTCCACCACAGGGATAAGCATGGCCACATCGTCCTGGCACAAGTCGATTTCGCTGATCTCCAGACTTGCATCTTTAAGAAGTGCACTGGGAAACGACCGGGACTTTAAGATCATCGATGCCCACAAGTAGGCGGGGAAAGACGTCCAGTTTTCCGCCGTGTCGCCATGCACATACCCGTACATCTGGCTGTCTTCGTAGAATTTGTGTTCGTAGTAGAATTTCATGTTCAAGAAGTGCGCCTCTGGCTTGGGCACGGATTCCGGCAAAAGCGAGATTGCCAGCCACCACTCCTCCACCAAAAGCACGATGTTTTCCCGGAGCGAGCTGCCCAAGTTAGTGCCCTGGAGATTTTTGTTGTCCTCGGGCAGCCAGACATACGGACTGTTGATTTGTGCCATCGTGGGGAGCGTTTCTATATAGGGTCTGTAAAACGAGTCTGATACAGCGGCCCTTTCTTTGGCCAAAAAGAGCTTGAGGGGACAGTTGACATTTCTTTGCTTGGCCATAATGTCCGAGGTGTCAAAGCCCAAGCCACTGATTGCGTCCGAGAGTTTCATGATGATTTTGGTGGGCACCTTGATGGAGCTAGCTTGCGACGTCGATGTCGCCCCGACATTGTTTTTTGCAATCGGGACAAATTGCACGTCGTCCGAGATCTGTGCCCCATTTTCCTTTGCCCAGTCTAGAAGAGTGTTGATCTTTTGCGCCGTCATTTTGAGTTGATTTGGCAATACCGGAGCGGTTGGCTGGATCGCTCTGGCACTGGGTGATGTATTGGTGCAAATCATCTCGCCTGTATAAAACAGAGAACATCGTGGAAGACCAACAACCGGAGTTGTTCCCGGATGATAAACTGAACCTTACTCAATTGAATGCCTCTGAGGTCTCGTATGAATATTCAAGGTCTGGGGACTGAAATTTTCTAAATGGCGCATGACGTTGTATGCTTGACTGTTATATTGTTTTTCTTGAATTAACTGAGGCCGCAGAATTGCGCGTAGTCCGGGTGCGTCCAATGGATGCAAAATACAAGGCGTTGGAGATCAAAAAAGAAGAAATATTACGCTAGTTTGGGATCAAGAATCCCTAGAAAATGATGTACTGATTTATACGGCAGTATGCTACTGAAGCTGTAATTTTCACGGCCGTGTAGCCTCATACTTTGAACTCGCGGTGAAAAGGCTTGTTCCAGGTCGCGATCAATTTTTATCAAGAACCCTTAGAGCGAGAAGATTGAAGTACATTGAGATTCAAGACGTGACACTATATTTCCTTGTATGATCTCTGTGTCTCAGGGTTTGGGGAACTCTCGTCTTCAAACAAGAACAAAGATCTTCCGCGGGAATATTGGCCTAAAGTGGCAATTCAAAAACCGTAGGCTCTGTATTTGGCAACATATCAGGAGTTGACCAAACGTAATTCAGGATAATTTCGCCCTACATTCTTGGGTATTTACTCTATTAAGCACATAAGTCACAGTTGAAATAGGCTCGAGAAAGTGACTGGGTGATTTCTCAGTGTCGACTTTCAAAGTGGAAGACTACGTGCCTTTCTATCCAAAAAGTAATGTCTTTGGGAACAAGAATACTGCAGCGATGCCAAAAGCAGTCTCAAAAGCATACAAAAGTGTCACTGAGGTTTTAATGGCGGATATCAAAAAATTGAGTTGTTTTTCACTCGACAATTGCGGTGAAATTACATCAGAAGTTGGACTAGCAAATATCTCGAGAAATTATTGAACTACTTCAGGGTGTCCCACTCAAAATGCGCTCTTCTGATAATAGCAGTAACCCGAAAATATTAAATCAGGCAATCTTAAAGGTTTAGAGAATAGAATTGGATGATGCACGTTGCTGGGATACGGCAACATTTACGAGGATGAATATCCGAGAAGGACATGCCTCAGCTCGAAACAAACACAATATGATTACATCTAGAGGACTTCCCAGCAAATATAAATCTTTGGCAGGTCCCACAAATTTGTTTGTCACGGCTCAGGAAATTTCTAGTAATAGTTTTGATGTGAGCGTCTTATGACAGCCCAGAAATTTCCTAGTGTCCTCTTTAGTAGACAAACCAAAGAATTTATACGACTACTTCCTGTCAAAGACGCCTTTGAATACGCTCAAACTGTTCAGACTCTCAACTCAAGAGAGAGACTAAAAAAAACACTTTTGATACGCTGTCTCAAACCAGTGACGTATGAACATATCCTTTACTTTGTTGTAGAAAGTCTGGTCCACAAACACCAGTTCCAGAAGTGTTTGTGGTTTTCGCCACAAACTATACCAAAATATGACTTCTGAAGAGGCTGAATTTGATCCCGTTTGAGTTAAGGTCTTAAACCACGTTTTGAACTTTGGTCGTCTATATAACCATTACATGAAGTGGGAGAACCACACGGGAGTAATTTTATAAGAAATCAGAAAATCAAAGATATCGTACAATTGGCAAATTCTACCGTGATATATATAGGTCCAAAAGTCGCCTGCTCCATGGGCATGACCAACGGGCCGATCGTTTCTAGTTAGTTGAGCCTCGTGTTCTCGGCCCATTGTTGTGGGCCTGACGTGCCCGTTGAGGTACAGATCACGTGACCACGTCATGAGAAGAGGTGGGGAGCACATTCGTGAAGCCCGAGGCATAGTGCAAGCCAATAAGATCGACTAGTGCTCTGTCTCTCTTGTGCACGTTTCTGCTCCAAGCGCCATTTCGCAATCTCTTGAATCTAAACTACTTGGATTTTACGTGGAAATAGCAAGATGTCGCGGCATGTCGCGCCACTGCTCGCGCGATATACTAACATAACTAAGCACTGGATCTACTCTTCTCCTAAAACAGACCATGTTTGCCATCTCCAAGGCCATCAAAATAGCGCCTTTTTCAAGGTCAGCCGTGCCCATGGCATCAAGGCTTTTGCACGTGACCATCCCACGTTTCAACGCCGCCCAAAATACCCCCCCTGGCGGTAGTCCAGACGAGGACTCCAGCAAGCCCGCGCCCACAAAAAGACCCTTAAGTAGGGTTGCCATCGGCGGCTCGCAGAACTCCACAAAGAAGTTTGCTGAAAGCAGCGGCATCGAATTTGCATCCTGGAAAGCCGTGGTGCTTTTGCTCGTTGCTGGCGGTGCGTTCACTTGGTGGTTTGCGCGGGAAAAAGAAAAGCTCCGGATTCAAAAGGAAGTCGAGAGTAAGCGGGGCGTGGGCCGCCCGATGATTGGCGGTAACTTCTCGCTTGTGGACCAGGACCACCAGCCATTCACCCAGGAAAACTTAAAGAACGACGAGCGCAAGTTTTCTATCATATACTTTGGCTTTACTCACTGCCCCGACGTGTGCCCTGACGAGTTGGATAAGCTAGGTGAGATGTTGGAAGACTTGAAGCAGCGGCATGCCATTGAGTTGCAGCCATTGTTCATCACGTGCGACCCTGCGCGGGATTCGCCGGAGATCGTCAAGCAATATTTGGCCGATTTCCACCCCTCCATCATTGGGTTGACTGGTTCCTGGGAGGCCGTCAAGAACGTGTGCAAGAAGTTCCGCGTGTACTTCTCCACGCCGCCAGACGTCAAGCCGGGCCAGGACTACTTGGTGGACCACTCGATTTTCTTCTACCTCATGGACTCCGAAGGTCAGTTTGTGGATGTGATTGGTAAGGAGGTTGACGCCAAGGGCGGAGCCGAGAGAATCCGCAAGCACGTGGAGGCGTTTGTGCCTGAGGCTGAGCGCGAGGCAAGAAAGAACTCCTGGTTGAGCTTTCTCTACAAGTGAGCGGAGCCGGACGAGGAAGCAGGGGATGTCCCTCGGCTTCCAGCTTGTATATACATGAACAAAGCCTGGTGTACCTGGAGCTGTATGGCCAAGGAAATGGGTTTAAGAACAAATAGACTGAAGAGAGATTTTCGTGCGTATGCATGCGCTGTCAAAATATGGCGGTGGTTAGACAAAGCACATACAGTGTTCGAGACGAGCTATGCGAAAAACATGAACTTTGCCCCCATAAATGTGTCGTAGATTTCGAACCATTTGAGCATAGAGGCAATATGGGCTGGCTTGAAATGGACGAAAGTGAATCGATTGTCCGTATTCTTCTCAAAATACTCCCCTATATCTGACTTGCCTTTCAACACTCATGTGCGTATCTTTATGTTGTAATATTTTTTCCGTCTAACCCGCTGTTCTTTCAGTTAATTGGGCCTGGGAAATTCTCAA